AATAAATAGCATCCACTTACAATTGCGACTAATTCATTTTTTGGTCCTCCTTCGTAAAGGTCTCCCTGAAATCCTCCCTATGTTCGTTAAAGCAAATCATTACAGGGAAACCCTAACACACAAAATAGTCAACCATCCAAAACGAAAATAAATCAAAACGTACACAAGAAAAATGAAATACTCGGTAATTAATTTTCCAATTCAAAAGATTAACACATAAACCCTAAAACCCAATCAACAACCTGAACCAGCACAATCAAAAAAACAAACACAATCTTCAGCTCAACAAACTCGATCTACGATCGATGACCCGCGCGGCCAGCGACTAGCGAGTCAGAGACTCGCCTCCGAATTCAATCAAAATCGAGCGAAAGAAAAGGGCAGGGAAAACTCACTTGGTGTTCTTGGTACCAAACTTGGATTTACCTCCCTTGATCGCAATTTTTACAAATACAAGATAGATAAGCTCAACCCACAGCGACAACGAGGAAACAGAGCAAAATAAATGCAAAATAAACGATGAGTTCTCACCTGAATCGACGACTTAGCGAGAGAGGAGAGGAGCGAGGGAAGAGGCTGAAGGGGGGAATTAAATGGACGCTTATAATGCCGAAAGCCAGAATGGAGATGAGAGGAGAAGAGAGAAGAGAAAGTGGATGCATAACTTGAATTTCAATTGCGCACGAAATGAAAGTGGAGAGGTTTAGGCAGGATTTTACAAAAAATTAGTGCCACCTCAGCAATCCGGGCTCATAGCTTTGATTGGCTGGGTGGAGGTGAGGATGTAAGTCTTAGTTCACTTTGTGTTTTTCCCTTCTACTTGTTCACTCTCTCACATCGTGACTTTGGATTAGGAAAAGGTCTAAAGATATATTTTGAGAGCACTTCTACTATGCTATATAGCATTGGTGCTTTAATGTACAACTCAAAGTTGTACCATAACATTAAATGTATAAGTTTAGGTTGTACCATAAAGCAATTTGTACCATTATGTTATGGTACAACTTTACAACTTGAAGTTGTACCATCACATAAAGGTACAAGTTCAAGTTGTACCGTAAAAGAATTTGCACAAAAAGTATAGGTACAATCTGAAGTTGTACCATAACGTAAATGTACAATTTTAAGTTGTACCATAAAAGCAAAAACCTATAGCACCAATACTATATAGCATTGTAAAATTTCTCATATTTTGAGGGATAACTAATTGTGTGTTTTTAAGAAAATTAAACTGGGTTCACTAACACTATGTGTGTTTACTATTTTATCGGGCAGGAGAGACCCACTTAACTATACTTGATGAGGATACAACGTATGAAAGGATTTTGTCATGGTTTTGGGGTTTTGTCATATTAAATTTGTAGGTCTTGAGCAACCGGTCCGGTAGAACAACTCTAAAGATAAAGAAGTATCGTTAATTTCTTCATGCTCGTTCCAAGTTCGATGTAACATTTGTACAAATAAGAATCCCCTTCGTTACATAATTTCTTCTTCATATAGATCGATATAGGATCTATGGGGCAATTCTTATCAATTAATACGACAAGTTCGTTTGTCGGCATAAAAATCAACTATAATATATTGTGACAAACCATTTAGTTTGTCACATGATACATTTTATGTTTCTCACCACTAGTTCATGACAAACCATAATTTGCTCAAAACTCTTGAAAAAAATAAACTTTATCATATTACATTAATATTTACAAGTTTATTTGACCGAATTATTTTGTCATAATAGGTATACAAATTTAAATATTATGACAATTCCATTGTTTGTCAAATCAAACTTCTCGTCTTTCGCTCCACAAGTCCCACCAATCCATAATCGAACACATTTCGTCTTTCGCTCCATAGATTCCTAATATTATGACAAATCACATTTGTCATTATATATTTGATATGGTGTATAATGTGACAAAGGTTATTGTGACGAATATGTTGCCATTTTATACTCTCCGTCTTCATTCCATCCAACAATATTTTGATAAAATGGTAGCGACATAATTATTTTGTCATAATATATACTTAATGTGACAAAGGTTTATGTGAAAATCGATGTTTGTCAAAATAGACATTGAATTTAGTTTTAGAAGGGTGACAATTATATTAATGGAGAAAAGAACAAAAAAAAGTTCTAAGTGTTCACAAAAAATGAACCCAAACGAGACATCACAGGGGAACAGGAACAAAAAGGAAAGAAAAGAGAACAAGACACCAGCTTGTTGGAACAGGCCACTCCTGCTGGTGACAGGAAAAAACATCCCTAACACTATGTGTGTTTACTTTTTTATCGGGCAGGAGAGACCCGCTTTACTATACTTGATGAGGATACAACGTATGAAAGGATTGAAAGGTATACAATTAGTTAATTAATGCTTGTTAAGTCGTCGTTCGAGATGTGTTTTTTAGGTTTGTTTGATTTTTAGTCATGAGTGGTTCTGTTGGCACTCGAATAGGTCAGTTGTAATCTGGATTTGCAGTTGGTTGTATAATTCAATTTAACTACTTAATTAGGATCACAATTTATCTTACTTGACTTTATTTTTCATCAGCTGTAATCTGGATGTTAATCTAGTTAATTACTCCGTAGTGGATTACCAAACATTGCATGGATTAATTAGAGTCGAAGATAAATAATCTTGTTTTTTATTCATTTCCATTTCCATAAAAGAATAAACAGATACTAGAATATATACAAGACATTTGCAGATTAAATCATAAAATGGAAAGAAGAAAAGTACGACTTGTTGGTGAACCATTGATAAGAGAATATTCGGCTGCTCAATTTGGTGTTTGTGATCGTCGATTCGAAATAAACCTAACCATAAAATTGAACTTCAAATTAAAAACCGAACACAATTCTTCCATAGCCCAACTCTCCATTAAGCCCTAACCAAGGTTGTCAACCAGGTCTCCCCTTCCAGCGTGTTCCTGCTCAGTATTATTATCCCCAATCCCCTACTCCCCAGCAGCTTCGCCGGGATCTGACTGTCGATCGCGTTGCTGTTCAGATTCAGCGTCGACAGCACCAGTAGGTCTCCCAACCAGCCGGGCAACGCACCCGAGATCTGGTTCATGGATATATTCAGGTATACCAGCCTGCACAGACGGATTTAATTGATATATACATTATTATATTGTGTCATCAAATTTCTTTCTAATCAATCAATGCTTCAGTTGAAGGTAGTTAATAGGTGGTGGTCAATTTCCGTGACTACATTATATATATATATATATATGGGTGGTTCTATCGTACCTTGGATAAAATCAAGGGTACGGTATACCTTGAGCAATAAAACACTATATGGACCTCGAATTTACCGGAGTTTGACATCTGGTATTAATCCCAAACCTTACAGATGAAACTCTAGGTCTTAATTCTATAAATCTTATACACTAAGATCAATTTAATTAGAAACAAAAATCGATGGTCATGATTTGTCGAAATATATGCAAAAAATTACATGGACAATTTTAGGGGTTAAGCTTTATAATTATGAAAACTAAGACCTAGGATTTACTCATTATGGGTTAGGGCATCGTATCATGCCAAAAAATCCGGTTAATTCGAGGTCTAGATAACGTTTTCTTACTCAGGGTATATCGTACCCTAGATTTTACCCAAGGTACGATAGAAGCCACCATATATATATAGCGAGTTCTACGGTGCCCCGGGTGAGATCCCGGGTACCGCATATCTTGAGTATGAAAACGCTATCCAGACATTGAATCGACTGATCTTTCTGACATGATACTATACTCTAACCCTTGAAGATCAAAATCTAGATCTTATTTCTCTAAATCTTATACACTAAGATCAATTTAATTAGAAACAATAATCGACGGTTATGATTCGTCCAAATATAGGCAAAAAAATGAATGCACCATCTTAGGGTTTATAGTTAATGATTTAGATAATTAGGACCTAGGGTTCACGCAATACGGGTTAGGATATAGTATCATGCCCAAAAATCCTGCTAATTTGAGGTCTAGATAGCGTTTTCATACTCAATGTATGCGATACCGCAGATTCAAGTTGCCGAGATCGGAGGGAATCTTGCCGGAGATCTGGTTGTTGATGAGGTCGAAATTAAGGCTAGGAAACGGTGCGATCTGGTCTAGACCATACCATATATACGGTCTATGGTCCAGACCGAGAGGCTGAAGTATAGACCACAGACCAGACTAGAAACTATACGGTCCGGTCCAGACCGCGCCTATGTGGTCTGGTTCGATATGGTCTGGTCCAGATAGACCATACTCAACGAAAAATGAATAATTTGTTTAGTCAACCACACAAAAAATTGAACCAATAACCAAGAAAAATAATTGTCATTTGCCTTAACACATTAATTCTAACATGCATGAATAATTTTGATACCCTAAATCTTAGTACATAACAAATATACAAAATAAAAGCATCCCAACTTGCACCATAACATCATAAACATTAACATAATGTCATATGGAGACACAATTATCTCTACTCTCTGGTTAAATGTGGTTGTGAATGAAGGAGGGTCGAGATTCACAAAACTAAGGTTGAGACTTGAGTGTCATTGTGGGAGTTGGGAGAATGGTCGAATGGGCTTTAACACGTATTGACAAGTGAGTTGGCTCCACAGTTTGGTCCGGTGAACCGCGATCTAGACCAGACCAGATCAAGAAATCAAAACATAAAATAATGCACGAGACATAAAATAATGCACGAGACCATGAACCAGACCATACTTAATGGTCTACGGTCCGTACCGAACTGTGCGGTACGGTTTGGACCACGGTTTTTCTAACTTGGCTAGTGGAGTTGGGCCAAGTTAATTGAGGAAGTTTTGCCTAGCCTTAATCGATTGGCTTTCTCTTTCTCTAATTGTAAAAAACAGAAAAGGAACAAGGAATAAAAAGATATTGTAAAAAACAGAAAAGGAAAATGAAATAAAAGGAGACCCTCCAATCTCCAATTCTCCGTCCATCCATCCCTCCCTTTCTCTTCTCCCGCTCGAGATCAAGCACCTTGTTCGACGAACCTGGATAGAGATCAGCCCTAGTCTTTGACTCGCTTGGCAATTGGCGTCGTTTGCGAGAGCATCTCTTTTGTCCACATACGTACTCTGACGGTAAGTCTCCCGCCCGCCTTATTCAGTTTCGCACCATGTCGAGTTTGTGCCGACTTATCTCGAGTCGGATTGTGTTCGCAAATCCTAGCCTCGCATTCCATCCGTCTATTTATATCTATCTATCTATCTATCGCCACCAGTAGTCTTTTTCTTTTCTAACTCCCTGAATTCGCTTTCTGGGTTTCTCTTTTTTGTTGTATGGCGGAATTCAATCGTCTGCGCAGATGGGGTACGGGCATTTAGGGCATAATAAGACAACGGAGCAGCTGAAGATGCTGATGCTCCTGGTGACGACGGTGATGGCGTTGGTCATCAGCTGCATCACGCGATCGGTGGTGGCTGGGATATTGATCTACACTGGCGGAATGGGTCTGACTATATTCATCTTGGACCGCCAATTGGACCTGGAAGAGGAACCCCTCCTCGAGGAAGAGGAGGAGCTGGTGCTAATTGACTGGAAAGGGCTTAAATTGGAGGATCCGCAGATGCAGATAATGGTTGTGACACCCCCGGTGATGGCATTGGTCATGTTCTGCTTGACAGGGTCGTTACTGATGATGATATTGATCTTCGCCTACACAGTAGTTATCATTAGTATCGGCCTCATTCCTTACTGGCCTTGCTTCAATCGCCACCATCTCCCTCTCGCTGAGAAGCATCCTCCTCTGGTTGTTGCTTGCTAAGAAGAAATAGGATGAGTGGATAGGTTTTAATTATTTTTCAATGTTTCTGTTTGTATTGCTCAGTCTGTCTAAGTCTGACTTGGAATTATATTAACTTATGAGTTGCAAGGGTCAAGAATTTGCTATTAGTCCTCAACTTGTATGGTTTTCATGCCTGCCTGTACATAATTAGGATAGATTTTTATTTCGAACATAACATTTTAAACTTGCGAAGAAACCTACATAAAACAAACACAATAATCAATCAAAACTCAAACATAGAAAATAATTAAAAGTAATATAGCATAATCTTTTTATAGCATTTCTCTCGTCTACTGCAGAGTCCGTGGCGGAGGCAGGGCCTTTTGGCCTTGTCCCAGGACAGAGGTAAATTTCGGTGTGACAAAAATACGCCATATATATTTATATTGGTGACGGATCACAACACGTATAGGTAATATTAGAGTACTTTGTCACAACTAGGGGTGGCTATACGGTCCAGTCCGGTTAAATTGGACCAAATTGATCCGGTCCCAGTCCGGTCTTTTCGGAAATATAAGAACCAAAGATTGGATTGGATACACTTCGATCTTGATCCAGTCCGGTCCCAATTTGATTTTGATTTTAGATTGAGCTTGTGGGGATTTGAGTGTTGGGGTCTCTTATCCGGTCTTTATCCAGGTTTTTTACCTCAAATCTAAGCCCGAATATAAGATTGGATTGTTTGCTATCCGGTCCCAGTCCGGTCCCGGTCCGGGTTATACGGTCCGGTTTCGGATAAAATCAAACAGTCCTGACCAAATTGCCACCCTAGTCACTACAACACGACTCATTACTTGTCCAAAATTGACATAAAATTAATTTATTATATAATAATCGACTAGTTTTGATCTACCAATTACAACTGCAAGTGTAAAAAGAGCATTTTTAGCTTTGAGTTATATTAAGAACAAGTTTCCAAGTCGATTTGACGACCAGTTTGCTAATACTTGTATAGTAAGATACATTAAAAGAGACTTATATAATAGTATAGACAACAAATGTTTTTGCGCTTCTTTCAATATATGAAAGTCCTTCATATTTGCTATCTCCAACAACTTTTTCAATTTGAGATTATAATCATATCAAAAGCAATATAAACTCATCAACGCAATTTAGGCTCAAGCAAAGAGCAATAAATAGCATCCACTTACAACTGCGACTAATTCATTTTTTGGTCCTCCTTCGTAAAGGTCTCCCTGAAATCCTCCCTATGTTCGTTAAAGCAAATCATTACAGGGAAACCCTAACACACAAAATAGTCAACCATCCAAAACGAAAATAAATCAAAACGTACACAAGAAAATGAAATACTCGGTAATTAATTTTCCAATTCAAAAGATTAACACATAAACCCTAAAACCCAACCAACAACCTGAACCAGCACAACCAAAAAACAAACACAACCTTCAGCTCAACAAACTCGATCTACGATCCATGACCCGGCCAGCGACAGCGAGTCAGAGACTCGCCTCCGAATTCAATCAAAATCGAGCGAAAGAAAAGGGCAGGGAAAACTCACTTGGTGTTCTTGATACCAAACTTGATTTATCTCCCTTGATCGCAATTTCTACAAATACAACGACATATAAGCTCAACCCACAACGAAAACGAGGAAACAGAGCAAAATAAAGAATGAGTTCCCACCTGAATCGACGACTTAGCGAGAGAGGAGAGGAGCGAGGGAAGAGGCTGAAGGGGGGAACTAAATGGACGCTTTTAATGCCGAAAGGCAGAATGGAGATGAGAGGAGAAGAGAGAAGAGATGGATGTATAACTTGAATTTCAATTGTGCACGAAATGAAATTGGAGAGGTTTAGGCAGGATTTTACAAAAATTAGTGCCACCTCAGTGCAATCCGGGCTCGTAGCTTTGATTGGCTGGGTGGAGGTGAGGATGCAATTCTTATAGTTCCCTTTGTGTTTTTCCTTTCTACTTATTCACTCTCTCACATTGTGACTTAGGATTAGGAAGAGGTTTACAGATATATTTTGAGGGGATAATTAATTGTGTGTTTTTGTAAGAAAATTAAACTAACACATGAATTTATATGGTTCACTAATACTGTGTGTTTACTATTTCATCGGGCAGGAGAGACCAGCTTCACTATACTTGATGAGGATATAACGTATGAAAGGATTGAAAGGTATACAATACCTTCTCTAATAGAACTAGAATATAAATTACATCTAAATGATCACATCGAGACCCCTATGATTTCCACTTGACGACAGAAAATCATGATTCAAGTCACAGGAGCAAGGATTTTGTCATTGTTTAGGGTTTTTGTCATATTAAATTTGTAGGTCTTGAGCAACCGGTCCGGCAGAACAACTCAAAAAATAAAGAAGTATCGTTAATATCTTCATGCTCGTTCCAAGTTCGAAGTAGCATTTGTACAAATAAGAATCCCCTTCGTTACGTGATTTCTTCTTCATATAGATCGATATAGGATCTACGGGGCAATTCTTATCAATTAATACGACAAGTTCGTTTGTCGCCATAAATATCAACTAGAATATATTGTGACAACCATTTATTTTGTCACATGATACATTTTATGTTTCTCACCACTGGTTCCCGCCAAACCAAAATTTGCTCAAAACTCTAGAAAAAATAAACTTTATCATATTACATTAATATTTACAAGTTTGTTTGACCGAATTATTTTTTCATAATAGATATACAAATTTAAATATTATGACAACTCCATTTTTTGTCAAATTAAACCTTTCGTCTTTCGCTCCACAAATCCCGCCAATCCATAATCGAGCACATTTCATCTTTCGCTCCATAGATTTCTAATATTATGACAAATCACATTTGTCATTATACATTTGATATGGTGTATAATGTGACAAAGGTTATTGTGACCAATATGTTGTCATTTTATACTCTCCATCTTCATTCCATCCAACGATATTTTGACAAAATGGTAGCGACATAATAATTTTGTCATAATATATACTTAATGTGACAAACGTTTATGTCAAAATCGATATTTGTCAAAATAGACATTGAAATTATAACAAACTTGAAATGTGTCAAGTTAGATACTTCATTATGGAAAAATTAAAATGATAAAAATCTATTTGGTCAGGAAATCCAAATATTGTTGTAGTGTGGACTTGCCCCCCTGTCCACCCTTGTCCATGATCTCACGCTTATAAAATCCATATGCGGATTTGACTTGTTGTGTCTTCTTGGAGATGCCCCTACTCCATTCTTCATGGTGGGTGACATGCTCACTTGTCTAGACTTAGCCAAATTCGCAAGACCTCGACAACTCTTTATGTTTTTCCCGCGTCTTTCCTAATTGGACTTGCCCCCATGCATGTCCACTGTTTGAGATTGGTGGCATGCCCCCTTGTCCATACTTAGCCATATTATCATGTTTGTTATAACATGTGTGGCTTTGGGTTGATGTGACATCTTGGACATCACCTGCTCCCTAGATAGACATATCAACTTCTCTTCTTCAAGCTTAAGACTCTTCTTGCATCGAGCACAAAACTTCTCACCCTCATTTGTCATCATTGTGATCGGGTTGGCCTGAATGGAAGTTAATGAGTTTTCTTGCTCAAAAACCACATTGGGCTTCCTTTGAGGTGGTGTTGTATCCAACACCCGCTTGAAACGTGGCAACTCGACTTTGGAGAAGTCTGGGTTGACCATGTTGAGGCAAAGCACCTTGGGAAATGGATCAGTGTCTACCAACATGGCATCCTTATTTGCAATAGGTAATTTAATGTGTTCCATTATAATGGCGTCCTGCAAGACATTATGGAAAACAACACAAACATCAGTGGCAAGTGCCATACTATTATGCCACTTATAATACTTCTTCCCTTTTAACTTCTTGGATGGGGGAAAGATATGTCCCCCTATAAACTTGACTTGACCATCATTGTAAAGTTGGTCAAAAATCAAGTCTGCCTAAGAGATATCAAAGGAGAACTTCCTCGACTGAATGGACGCACGATTGGGTATTCTCCCTTGCGGCCCATCTTCAACTTTAGAATAAGGAAGCACACACGTATGGCTTTCCTAGAGTTATCTCAGGCAAGTCCACCTTAAACTCATTAGCCTCGTGGCCAACATAATTGATAGTATAACCTATGTTTGGGAAGTAGATCTCCTTGAGGCACTCCTACGATTCTCTTCCCCGTGTAAAAGATCCTCATACCTCATGACACAAGACATGAGTTGAAACAAGTCAGAGAACTCCCTGACTTTGAACTTCTTCCTTAGTTCAAAACTCAAAGCCCCTTGTGCTAGTTTGATGAACTCTCTCTCCGTCAAATTGACAAAACAACGGTTATGGACATTCTGGAAGTTAGTCAAGAAATGCTCAACCGATTCCCTTGGTTATTGGCGCATACGTGGCAAGTCAACCATGGACAGCTCGGGGTAAAATCGTAAGCGTAGAATTAAAGCATAAAAGCCTATGTTTTGGCGCATACTGTAAAATAACTAAAAATCTGTTAAGTATAACACACTATGTACAATATGAGTGCATAGAATTTAGATAAGTTAATAAATATCTGCAATTCGTGTCTAAAGTAGAGCAACTCATAGCATCATAAAAATTAGTTCATAAACATACATCTTAACAATAAGCCACCTTCCCCTTTATGCTAATGAATTTGGGAAGGACCTACCAGGTGAATTATGTTACTCTATTGAAGTTGAGTATGCATCCAACTACCTTGTATATATTTTTTCATCTCAAATGTATCATATTGTTGGTGATTTACCTTAAAAATATCATTCTTATAATTAATTTCATGAAAATAATACGCATTTAGTGAACTAAAAGCGTAAAGAGTTTTGGTAAACTAGAAGCATAAAAGCGTAAGTTTTTAAGTTCTAAAACGCAATTTAGCCCGATTTTATACACTAAAGATTTCATATGGAAACGGAAGCGTTCAGGCGACCTAAAAGTGTAAAACCGTAAGTTTTTAAGTTTTAAAACGCGATTTTTACTGCATTTGGTCAGATCT